ACAAATCTGCCAGCCTGCTGTTTGGGATGTTGCTGTGATGGCGGGAGCTCCATCCTCACCATGAGGGTAAGGGCCAAGCCCTGGGGAGGGCAGAGCATCGAGCGTGAAGGAGCCTGGGCCCCTGAGGAGCTGGGCACAGAGCCACCCTGGGAGCCGTGGACTGCCTGCTCCAGAACCTTTGCATATGGGGGAAATAAACTTCTCTTGGCTTAAGCTCCTGTTGTTTTGGTTCCTGGTCCAGGAGGGCTTAGGGAGGAGAGCAGTGGCAGGTGCACCTGCTGCTTCCATGGCCGTCCTGTGTGGGCCCCGACTCAGCATCCACGTTTCCTGACCGCCGCCCCAGGCTCCTGACCGCTGCCCCAGGCCACCCGTGGCAGAAGGGGCAGTGGGTCAGGAGGCTCTTAAGCGCCCCAGCTTCCGCCAGGGCCCCCGGGAGCCCGTCCGCCCTCCAGCACGGCTCATGAGAAGGCACCCCACACACTGTGTCCATCACGGCACCCACCTCCTGCATGCCTCACCGATGGTAGCCACTGGCTGATACCGATCACTGTCTGGGGAAGGTGCAACAAAGCCACGTGCTTTTCACAATGACATGAGCGTCATTAGTCTCGTTACACAGGGGAAGAGACCAAGATTCAGAGAGGCCCGCTTCATCTCTGCTCACGAAGGTCCCACAGGGTCGCGGCCATCACCTCAAGAGGCCTCTGGCTCCAGGTCTGGCTTTGCGATCAATCCAAGGGCAGAGTCGAGGGTAGACAGAGAGTGGAGGCGCCCCACTTCCTAACAGAGACGAGAGAAAGGAACTCAGAGGAGGGGGAGGCTGATGTTCCTCAATTATCCCACCATTTAGGTTTTCCAATATTTCTATAACAAGCATCCGTTATTTTTATAATGAGAAACTGTCCCTCCGGCCAATCCTCACCCGCAGCGCTTTTCACAGTTCTGACTATTTTCTGGCTAATGACTGATTTGACCAACACACAGGAGGTTCAGATCGCAGTGGCCTGTGATGAACAATTTAATCAGCCTTAGATTCAAATTCTCTCTCGTGCCCACAGGTTTTTCAAGAACTCTCCTCGGGATCCCAGGAGTTCGCCGCCTCCTCTCCCCTCCCCTGTCCTCTGGGCAGGCCAAGGCCACCCTCGCGCCCACCTCTTTGGGGAGAGAGCATCACGCCCACAGCGGGCACCTGGAGTCCACTGGTTCCAGATGGCCACAGGGACCCTTCAGATGATCTCGGGGAAATGGCCGTCAGTTAATGTTGTGTTTGCTCGTTCCCCATACAAATGATGTGGCTTTTTTGCAGAAAGTTATTTCAACTTGAGCGTCTGTGGCCCCTTCTGGCGGCATTTTCTCACCAAGCACACCCTTTCCGGTTTGGAGCTGGGGGCTAGGGAGGATGGCGGCGAAATCTGCTGCCACGTTGTCAGGTCCCTCCTCCAGGCAAGGCTCTGTCCTGGGAACCCTGGTTTCCTCTGGGTGGGGGTTCAGGGTGTCTCCTGCAGCACCGAAACAAACACACTAACAAAAAGGCGCCAAGAATGAGCCACGATGGTGAGACGGGGAACAAGGTTACAATTAGTCCATTCTGTCCTGAGATCCCAGATAAAGATAAAATCAAATGGAGAGAATCAAAGTAACGCCCACTCTGGGGACTGTTACGTGGCTTAGAGAACTAGGCTGGCCTCTCCCCTCCGGGTCTCACAAGGCCAAATCAAGGTGCCAGCCGGGCTGGGCCTTCATTTGCGGGCTGGTTCAGGTTGCAGGTGGAGTCAAGCCCCTTGCAAGAGCAGGTCTGAGGTCCTCACTCCTTGCTGGCGGTCAGCTGGGGGCCTCGCTCTGCTGTCTCGCCGGACCCCTCCGTCTTCACACCAGCAGTGGTGACCTGAGTCTTTCTCCTGCTTTGAAGCTCTCTGACTTCACCTGCTGGAGGAACTCTCTGCTTTTAAAGGTCTCACCGAGGCCAAGACACGAGACGATCTCCACTAACGTCAGCTGGCTTGAGACTTTAATTACATCTGCAAAGTCCCTTCCCAGCAGTTCCTAGATTAGTGTGATTGAATAACCCGAGAGTGGGTCTCTTGGGGCCCATCTTTAGAATTCTGTCTACCACACCCGTCGGACCCATATATATTTTTTAATTTGCTTATTTCAGAGTTGGATAAAAGGATGAAAATCCATGCCCCTGCTGAGGGACAATAATAACAATAATAATGCAGCTGGTGGCAGTAGCCGATTCTCTGGAGCAGACTCAGGTCCTGGCTTCAGCCTGCAGTCACGTAGAAGCTGGGATTAGTTGGGAAAAACATACAAAAGCTCTGTCTTTTTCCACCTGTGTGACCTTGAGCAAGTCATCTAGCCTGGCTGGCCCTGTCCCCTCCTCCCCACTCTGCGGGCTGACCCGCAAGAGGATCTGCACAGGGCCTGGCACCCCGGGACTCGGCTGTTAGGAGCATCACACCCACGGCCAACATGCTGTCGAGCCATCTGCACGACCTCCTCCTGAGGACGTCTTCCTTTCTGAACGCCACCCCATCCTTGTTGGGGACACCACGTGCCATTTAGCTTGCTCTTCCGGTACCCCCTGACCCCGCCACCCATGCCCTTTGCCGAAGTGCGTTCTGCGGGCTGATCCAGGCAGCTTCATCTCCACGTGGAGATGACTAGCACTGAGGTAACGACGTTCCAGACCTCAGGGAACTACCTGAGCAGGCTCCCAAGAGCGTTGGCAAAATGACACCTCTGTACGCCCAGCCCCAGCTCCCTTTGGAGCAGTTCTCAATGTGGCCACGAGGTGGCAGCACACACAGGCCTCTGTTCAGAGAAATCCATCGTTTTGGATAGGGATCCAGGGCTTGGCCTCCTGGCTGGCCTGGACCAACTGGTGGTTGAGCGTCCCAAGCGTGGCATCACCACTGTGGTGACCCGTGCTTGTCTCTTGGGACACAGCGTCTATAACTCTGTTGATTGTCTTCATGCTGCACCATGAGCTATTACAGCAGGATGCCCATCTGATTCCCTCTGAGCCCCAAGAAGATAGCACATGAATATTTGTATCTCTTTTAAACCTCACAATAGATGATATGATCTCAGTTTTACAGGTGAGCAGATCAAGACTCATAGCAATTAAGTGACTTGCCCAAGGTCACAGCTAAGGAGGAATATGACACTGTTTTAAATTTTATTACAGAAAATTTCAAACATATACAAAAGCAGATAGTCATAACTCCCACAGTATTTATCATTCAGTTTCAGCCATTACCAACATTTTGCCACTTATGTTTCTCCATTCTTCATTTGTTTTTTACCAGCGTATTTATAAAGCAAATTCCAGACACTCTGGCAATTTACTGTAAATACTTCTATTTGCATCTCTAAACATTTAGGACATTTTTACCTAACCATCAGGCCATTCTCTATCCCTAATAAAAGTATCAATAACTCCTTATTATCATCTAATACTGCTTATATTCAAATTTCTCCCACCGTCTTGCAAATGTCTTTTTCAGAGTTGGTTTGTTCCATCATGATCCAAATAACATTCCATTTGGTCCTGTCTCTTAAGCGGTTTTATTCTTGAACAGTCCTACTTCCTTTTTTTTTCTCCAGGCCCTTCATTAATTAATAAACTAGGTCATTTGTCCGGTAAAACATCCCACATTCTGGGTTTAGCTGTTTGCCTCCTCCTGCAGGTGGCACAGGCCTGGTACAGAATAAGTGTTCACTCAACATTATGAATCCTTTTAATGGGAGCAAAGCGAAATAATAGAGGTTTGGTCTTCACAAGTGGGACACACAAACAACACTCCACTTGAGAGACCACGGGCTCCAGCCCTGGGACCTTGGCGAGACCACGGGCTCCAGCGCTGGCATCTTGGCGAGACCACGGGCTCCAGCCCCGGGACCTTGGGGAGACCACGGGCTCCAGCCCTGAGACCTTGGGGAGACCACGGACTCCAGCGCTAGAATCTTGGGGAGACCACGGGCTCCAGCGCTCCTTGGCGGAGAGGACTGCAGGCAAAGCAGCTGAAGCAGGAGCCAGACCAGAGCTCCTGGGGGCGCCTCGCCAGAGGGACAGCAGCTAACCGATATAAGAACAAGTGGCACCTCCTCCTCCAGCACCTCGGCTTCTTCGTGGCACGTGATACACTAGCACTGACCTTTGTCAGATTAATGAATACGTTCATAAGCTTTAGCTTGGTCGCCGAAGTTTTTCTAGGTGCTGTTCTTATGTTTTGTTTTATTCGGAGAAAACTAAAGGTGACAGAAAAGTGCAAAGAAAACCAACATACACCCACATTCCCATCATCCAACATCAATGCTACCATTTTGTCCCTTTTGCTTTCTAGGTTTTGTTTTATGTTGGAGTCCCCTCTAACCACCAGTTTGCCCCTTCTCCCCCTCCGTCACCGCCGCAGAGCAACCAGCCCGAGGGGTGGAGCCTCCCGAAGGCTGTGGACCGTCGTTTCCTAGGGACCTGCAGAAGCGCGCTGATGTGCTCTGCCCTCAGCACATCTGCATTAACCAACACTGAGCGCTGTGCGCCCCGCCCCGTCCCAGGAGCCGGGGCCGTGAGGGAGAACAGGACAAACGCCTGCCCGGCCCCGAGCCGACTCCACAGTCAAGGGCGGCTCGAAAAGCGAAAACAGAAGTTTCGCTGGAAACCTGCTAGCGAGACTGGCCGGCGCTGCACATCCGCACTTCCGGTGCCCCGCCCCGCCCCTATGCTCTCTCTCCATTGGTCCTTCCATTGACCACGCCCCGCCCGCGGAAAGTCTCCTCCCACTGTTCCCCTCACCTTTCACCTTCTCGCCTTCTGGGGCTCCAGAAGGCCTCACACCCCGCCCACCGAGGGAGGAGTGCTCCGCCGTGACCCTCAATTATTGGTGACTATTGTCTGTCCATTAGAGGAGAAGCGGCCGCGGATTGGCTGAGGGAAGCAGCTGGGCGGGGAGGCAGGCACAGAGTCTGCGCCGTGGCCTGTGCCCCCAGGGGGCGGGCAGCGGCCTCTGCGCATGCCCGGTGCGTGCGCAGGGTCGGCGGCGGCGGCAGTCATGGCGGCTCGGTGCGTGAGACTGGCGCGGCGCAGCCTCCCGGCCTTCGCGTTGTCTCTGAGGTAAGGGCGCGCCGCTGCCTCGGCTGAGGAGGGGCGCGGTCCTCGGTGCCGCCCTGCCGGGCCCGCCGTCTCCCGCTCCGACTCGGCGAGGCCGCCCCGCAGGGCTGCCCTGCGGCGGGGCCGGGGTGTGGGGACCGAGGCCGCGCGGTCCGGCGGCGCGGGACCAGGTGTGGGCCATCGGCGCGCGCACAGCCTCGTGGAGCCGAGACGCCCGCCGGCGGCGCTCGGGCCTTCCCACTCGGCCCCGAGCTCCGCCGCCGCCGTGTCCGGAGTCAGAGTCAGAAGGGCGCCGGGCCCGTGGGGCCGTGGGGAGAGGGTGTTAGTCGGCGCGGCGCCTCCACTGCCAGGGCGCAGGGGTCACCCCTCTCTTTGTCTGTCGGCTCCTCAGTCGGGTTGGGAAGTACTTAGCATATTCTCTGTTGGAGGAACTGCCCGGAACCGAGGGAGTTGTTGGAGAAGGCGCTCCGGGCCGAGCGGGAGCTGGTCTTTTCCTCGAGGAGCTCGCTCGTCACGTGGATGGGGACCAGGCGGGGAAGCGGGGGTTAGGGTGTGATTGCCCGCCTAACAAATGATGTACAACGAAGTAGGGGAGCAGAGCAGGGAACCCCCGGGATACCTGAGAAATAGGGCTCTTTGCTCAAGTAATTTGTGGTTTTGTATCTGGAATTAATTTCCAGAAAAGTGATCACCAAGTCAGCGTTAATTTCTGTTTCTGAGAACTGGTTTTGCGCAAAGAGGCTCAAGTAGGGGAGGCAAGAGAGCTGAACTGTAGTCGTAGCTCTTAGAGTAACCAAGCTCTCTGAGACTCGGTTTCCCTCTCCGTCAAACAAGCAGGGCCCTGGCCCGGCCCTGTTGCATCCCTGAGGACACTTGTGCTGCTGCGCGACCCTCTGTTGGCTGTGCTTCAGGAAGGGGTCTGCGGGGCTGACCTGCAGAAAGGCTGTGACTGACGCACCCAGAGGTCGGGACAACCAGGAAATAAGACAGGCTTCACAACAGCACACTGTTTTTAGATTTAGATAATTAGCTTCTTTAAATCACAAAAATAAAAACACAATAAAAAGATTATTGCTCTCCACCCCCTCAGTATCAGACTAGTGGATTCTCCATTCCTCCCTACAGGCGTAAGACCCGTACACATACACGGGGTTTCTGGTTTGTGTTTACAAAAATGGGGTCATGTTTTGTGTATTTCTTACTGCACAATACACCCATAGTGTATCCAAGAGATGACAATTAAACACGTTCTTTTTGGTAGCTGCATAATATTCCAGATTATGGAAGCGACAGTTTATTCAACCATTTCCTTACTGCTGAGCATTGTGTTTCCAGCTTGTCACTACAGTGCTGCTGTAAACATCCTTGTACATATACTCTGTGTACTGACAGCTTTTCTGTTCATTGAGGCAGTGTTCTTTCTTTCTTTTCTTTCTTTTTTTGGGAAGAAAATTGCATGTTGTTTATTTTCAGATTGGACAATAACAGTTAAGAAGAGCTCCACTGATCCTGGTGAAGAAATCTGGGTTTAAGACTATTCTGTCATTCATTAATGGCTTTGTGACCTTGGGCTTATCACTTAACCTTTTCACATAGGGATCTGATTGGATATATCTTCAGTCGTTTCCAGTATTAGTTTTGGACCTCTTTGTATTTCCCCTGGACATACCCCCACGTTTCCTACCTCTATGCCTTTGTCCAGGCAGTTCCCTCTTCCTGAAGTGGGTCTGTCTTGTCTACTCCCGACTCCTCATGTGTAACTCTTACCTATCCTTCCAAGCCCCTCTGCACAAAGCCTTTCGTGGTCTTCCATTTCCCCAAAGCTAGAAATCTTCTCCTACTTGGAGCCTCCCAAAGCAGATGGTTCCTTTTTTATCACTTTTAAACCCAAAATTATAGTTCTCTGTGTATAGATATCTTTTTTTGCATGACAGTAAGTACCCTGTGGGTGAGATCTCTGCCCCATCCATCATTGTAATCAGCATCAGCACTGGGCTTCACCTCTAATAGTAGCTACTCCATAAATGTGTGGTGGGGTCTGGATGACCATATCTCAGAAGGAGGTGTTTAGAATTGACAGAAGAGGAGGTTAGTAGTGTAGCCTTGGTACACTGACATTAGTTTAGGCATGTATTGCAGAATATTTTTAATAAATAGCTTCTGTACATCATATACAATTTCCCTTTATTAAACTAAGATAAATTGTTTCTCCCCCACAAGCCAATAGCAAATAGTTTTAAATTATCTCAAATTGCTGATATCATATAGCTGACTTTAACACGCGAAAGAAAAACATAGTCTTGATTTCTCGCGTGTGGACTTTTCTTCAGGCCCTCTCCTCGGCTATTGTGCACAGCTACTAAACAAAAGAACAATGGCCAGAACTTGGAAGAGGACGTGGCTCACAGTGAACAGAAGACAGAACCTCCCTCTACAGAGAAGATACTCCTGGAAGAAAAAGCCAAGTTGGAAGAGCAGCTGAAGGAGACAATGGTAAGGGCGCATAGGCTCCTATGGGGAGACGCGGGCTGCTGAACGCCATGTTCTTTGGAGGACGTCTGTCCAGCCTCCGTGTTTTATTGACAACAGAGACCGAAGCCGGAGGAGTTCAGTCATTTGTCCAAGGACTACGGTTGTGTCCTATAGCAAGTTACTGCTGAAGAAGGGACTAGAACCCAAATCCTGTGTGGCTCGGGTTCTGTCATGAGAATCATCTTTACATGCTACATAGATTGTATTGAATTAACACTTAAAATGGTCTTTACAAATGAGGAATACTCAGTGTGTCTGTTTAAGCTGGGAAGGACAGGGGTTGGGGGCAGGGGTGTGGTTATGTGATGCTTTTGTGGGGAGGTAGGAGCTTATGAACTAGTTAGTAGTGTGGATTATTACCCCTGTGAAAAAGCATAGGTGGTACAAATCAACTTCTTTAAGGACTTAAGAATGATAATATCAAACACTCTGCTGGGACTGTTCCAACCTCTTTATATATATTAATCCTCACAACAACCCAGTGAGTCAACTGTTAATATCCCTGTTTACAGATAAGGAAACTGAGGCTCAGAGAGGTTAAGTAGACTTCCCGAGGTCATCTAGCCACTGAGCGGCAGAGCCAGGGTTTGAGCCTTGGAGGCCTTGCTCTCAGCCACCGCACTGCACTCGCCTGAAGGAGGATGGAGTGTAGAGGCCTCTGTGGAGTCATTTAGTACGTGTCAAAAATAGAAATGCTCAGGAGATGAGTGTGATTACAGGAAAAGTAGTGTGAGAAATGAGGAAGATACCAGAATTCATATGAGTATTACACAATAAATGTTTGAACTGAGCCACATCTGGGCAACGTTAAAAAGACCAAAGCGGTTTTATCTCTTCGGTGAGATAGAGGCCTAAACTATCCACCCAGGCTCATTGTTCTAAATGTTCTCAAGGTGTAGGAGCCAAGGTGCGTCAGCCCCTGCCTAGGGTTCTAGGGTTCCCTTAGTTGGGAATTTTGCTGAGGAAGTGAATGGTCCTTCCGTGAGGGGCGATGAGACCATCAGAACCACGAGAAAGTAGAAATTTTTCTTGTCCTTTCCACAGCTGTCTACTTGAGTAAGAATGGCCTTGGGGGCTATATAAATACATGATTCCTTGACATCTTATTCCCCATGCGTTGGAAATAGTGACATAGTTGTAACTTATTTCTGCTTATTAAGCTGCACTGTCTGATTCCAAAATAACAGATGTTACTTGTATTTTGACTTGGAGTTTGTTATATCAGATTTGCTTTCCTATGAAGTTTGTTCTGTACTTTATTGTGTAAATTTTTTTTTTCTTTTTTTAGGAAAAATATAAGCGAGCTTTGGCAGATACTGAGAACTTGCGGCAGAGAAGCCAAAAATTGGTGGAGGAGGCAAAATTATATGGTAACTTGAAACGTTATATGATATTGATCCTGAAAAATATGGGGCAAGGAAGGTGGGGGTGGGGTGCGTATGCGATTATCAAGCAGCAGAATCAAGCAGGTTGGGGAGTGGGGAGTCTGCTGGTTGATTCCTCCCGTTGTTAAGATGGGTCAGCAGTACAGTTGCCTGTAAGGGGCAGACGGTGGCTCTGTGACTGGCATTCAGGCTCGTCAGCGTGATTCCCTCAGGAAGGAGCGTGTTTACTGCTCCTCCACATGACGGGCCTCTGCATGAAGCTGTGAGCCTCCCAATAATGCTAGCAGGTCAGCCTCTGCTGTTCGTTTTCCTTAGCCATGCCAGCAGTAACATTGATGTTACTTAAGATCTCCTCACATGCTGTCTGCATTGTCACCTTTGGGTATTGTCACTGTGCTTCCCACTTACAGTTGAGATCATTGAGGCTTAAATGACTTGCCTCTCATCACAAAGCTGGTAGGTAATGGACCGGCGCTGAGGCCAGTGCTCCTGACTCCACATCTGTTTGTGGTGGTTATTAAACAGAAGGCTACCATCTGAGTACTTACAGAACTGTCAGGCAGGCGTTAGCCCCGTCTTGTAGATGAAGAGCCTCAGGCTCACAGTGAAAGCTTAACTACTTGGCACGAGGACAAAGTGGGTGTGAGGCCAAGTGGAAACCAAGATCCAGATCTTGTCATGCTGCCACATCAACACAGATAACAGATCTCTTCTGGAAACACTTTTTGTTGCTGGGTGCTGTCACCTCAACTCCTGGATTTCTTCCTCTTTCTGGTGATGCCCTTCATTGGCTTCTTGTCTGCCTGACCTCCAAACGTCTGGGTTCTTCAGGGCTCGGGGCCAGGCCTCCCCTGTCCTCTTGCTGTGCTCCCAGATGACCTGCCCTCTCTGATGGGTCTCAAGGGCATCCATACCCATCCATACCCAGGTTCTCTTTTCAGCTCAGACATTTCTTCGGAGTTCTAGTTCCATCTGTCCTGTTGTTTACTCGGCATCTTTACCTGGATCTCTCACGGGTATTTTACACTTAATTTTCCCCTTTATTTGTGCTTCCTTTCTTCCTCATTTTAGTAAGTGACACCATTACGCACCCCGGTGCTTAGGTCAGTAATCTGAAATTGTCCTTTCCTCTCCCTCATCCCCACATCCCTCCCATCCAGTGGGTGGGGAGTGGCTGATCTCTTCACTCATCCACTTGCCCCTGCTGCCTCCGCTCTGGCCCACGCCAGCTTCAGCTTTTGCATCACCACTCCACACCCAGGCCAGCGTGACTTTAAAGCACATTTGACCAGTTACACCTTCACCCGTTCCTCTGCCCCTCTGGAACCTTCAGCTGCTGTGGGGCTGCCTCTCCCCTTTGGACTTGCCACCTTTCAGTTCCTTGAATGCTCAGTTCACAGAACCCTCCCCTGAGTCTCCAGTCTAAATGAAGTCCCTTATATATGTCTGTACAATCTTTCCTCAGCACTCATGAATGCTCCTTCATGTAAGTGTTGTGATTTGTCATTGTACTTGTCACTTGTGTGATTTTTTTTTCATTTTTTTTGTGAGGAAGATCAGCCCTGAGCTAACACCCGATGCCGATCCTCCTCTTTTTCTGCTGAGGAAGATTGGCCCTGAGCTAACATCTGTGCCCATCTTCCTCCACTTTACGTGGGATGCCGCCACAGCATGGCGTGACAAGCAGTGCATCCGTGCACGCCCGGGATCCGAACCCGTGAACCGTGGGCCATCACAGCGGAAAATGCGCACTTAACCACTTGCACCATCAGGCCGGCCCCGTCACTTGTGTGATTATACACTGATTATTTGATGACACACTCCACGAGGGCAGACAGTTTCCCAGTAGCCAGGACAAGCGTTAACCCCTAGTGGATGCTCACGTTTCTATTGGATAGGTTAAAATTTTTTATTTCCTTTTAAAGCAGCAGGGTGGAAATACTGTGAAAGGGAGTGAAGTTTTAAACAAGTGTTGCCTCTTGCGAAGTGGAGCCTTTGAAGCTTGTAAAGACTCAACGAGGTCACGTTAGTGCCCTTGGGATAGCGCCATTGCTGCCCTCTTGGGGCCTTGGCGGAGACAGACACCAGTTTCAGTGCTCGTCATTCCTGACTTCCGTTCATCATCTGAAGCATTTTCTTGAAACCACAGACCGTCTTTATTTATGTAATACACTGCCTTGAATTTTGAGTGACTTTTCTAATATGTTATTTCCTCTGTTTGGATTAAGGTTAACACAGATTAAGGTTAAGGCTTGGGGTGTGTCTTGGTAACTTACCCACACAGTGCCTGGTAATTGCTGGCATTTATTGAGTGCTTACAGTGGGCCAGGCCCTCAAAGGTGTATCACCTTTCGATCCTCACAACCACACTGTGTGTTAGGTCCTGTCGTGATCCCTGTTTTATAACTGAAGAAGCTGAGACCCAGCGAGTTTGACCAGGATCACACAGCAGTTAAGTAACAGCCAGGGATGGGGCCCCAGGCCCCGTGCTCATTAGCTCCTACCCAGCAGCTGCCTCTGCCTCGTGCGGCCGGCACTTTCCGAGGGGTAGCTGTCGTGTCTGCCAGAATGAGGGGCTCCCTCGGAGTGTGCAGTTTCTCAGTCTGGAGCAGGATTGATGGTGAGACGGTTCTGCACGTTTTCAGCTGCCTGTCTTCATAGCTAATTATCTCGTCTAAACCCAGAAAAGGTTTTGTTGTTTTTTTTTAAATCAAGCCATTGAAATTCTAGGGCAAATGAATGATTTGAAAAGTTATCATTAAATAGCCTATGCGTGAAGTAAATAAGACTTACAATTGTGAATTGCCTTGTGCAGTTGATGTGGAATGCTAATGATGCTCTTCTTCACCTTCATTCAGGCATTCAGGGCTTCTGCAAGGACTTGTTAGAGGTTGCAGACATTTTGGAGAAGGCAACACAGTGTGTTCCAAAAGAAGAGATTAAAGATGACAACCCTCACCTGAAGAACCTCTACGAGGGGCTCGTAATGACTGAAGTCCAGATCCAGAAGGTGTTCACAAAGCACGGCTTACTCAGGCTGGATCCTCTAGGGGCCAAGTTCAACCCTTACGAACATGAGGCCTTGTTCCACACCCCGGTTGAGGGGAAAGAGCCGGGCACGGTGGCGCTAGTTAACAAAGTGGGGTACAAGCTGCACGGGCGCACCCTGAGACCTGCCCTGGTAGGGGTGGTGAAGGAAGCGTAGCTGCCTCTGAAGGGTTTCAGTGGGTTTGTTGGTAATCACTTGCTGTTACTGTTAAAGGCTGGTTCATCCTTTCTCATCTATGAATATTGTGACCTTTTCCCAAACCTTGTGGGAAAGCTTTAGTAATCTGTGGGATAAACAGAAAGTTAATCCAGTTGCACAACTGCGTTAATGAACTCTAAGTTGGGAGTCTGTTCATTGATTTTTAATACACGTTGAGTAGTTCCACGTGCTTACAGAACAGGCCGACGGGACACTACCGGACCCTTGAGTATCATGAATAAGGCTGTATCTGCTCAAACTCTGGTGACGTCCAAGCATTTTAAATGAATAAAAGGTCTTCGGGAATCCTGCTCTTTGGCTAGCTGGCCGCACCCAGCTGCACTGTGCGTCTTCTGCATCTCACCATAGCAGGCGAGCACCTGGAATCCTTAGCCCATTACATTTCAGTGAAGGAAAGGCAAGCGTTTAAACGTTTTTCATGCTAAGACAGATTTTATGATGACCCCTTCGGTGGAGAACATACGTGGGTTCATTTATAATTAGTTACTATCTAGCTGCTAGAAATGATTGACTTCTGGCTTTTGAGATGTGAAATGAGCACATGAACTTCACGAGTTCTCATGTCCTTATCTTGCTAATTACCAAATTTGACAAAATCATTTATTTTTGCCTTGTTCTGTTCGTCTATTTGTAGAAATGTTTAAATCTATACTGGATTAGTGACTGATGACCTGACGGTATTTCCCCTAGTAAAATGGACTTTCCCAAAATCTGAGGACTGCATGCTGGGTATAATTTACATGTTAAATGTTTAAATTTTATTTAAGAGGATTAAAGCCCTCCTATGTTTATTTTCCTACTTTCTGATCACTATTTTGTGTACTTTGGTGGAGGAGATCCTTACTAAGGAAAGCATGACTTAGCTTGCCTGTTCTCTGCTCAAATCCTGAAGCTGTGTACTTGACACGTACACGCAACACGCATGAGCTTCCATACCAGAAGGGAGAGCAGCCTCCCTCTGGTGCAGTCGCAGGCTGGCCTGTGACTGGGCCTCTGCTGGGGGCAGACGTGTCCGCCTACAGACTGTGAAGGGAACCACAAACACTCAGGAGCCACAGCAAGAACACACACCATTGCAGAAGGTGGGTCTGGGACTCGCCATAGGACCGTCCGTTCTTCAGTTACATTAGGGAAAAGTTGAGTGATTGAGGTACCTGTTATACACAAGAGAAAAAATAACCTTTGCTTCTAAGAGGTACTTCTAGGATTGAAGGTCAGTACTGTTAAAACCATTTACGGCATTAAAAAGATGGGGCAGTCATTTATTTTGCTTCTAATTTTGAAAGATGTAGGTGCTATTCCCATAATTAAAATACCAATTTATACCATTTCAAAACCTCTTCCCCTTTTCCTTTAAGCTGCTTTAAATTATTTGGTCAAAAACATACCCCAGGACTAAAGGCAGCACAGTATATTGAGAAAATACCTGACTGGGACTTAGAGCTGTGCTTTTATACTGTGTGGCCATGTGTGCATTTCACCTCCCTGGACATCCTCTATAAAATGAAGGCTGAAAAAGGAAAGCAATTTGCAAATTGATTTCTGTGAATGTGTGCAGTCACTCCCTTTTCAGCCAGAGCTGAACTACTGCAAGGCCCTGACTGAGACGGGAGCTTAAATGTGGCTGTTGCTTTACACTGGTGTCACCACCAAGAGGAAAACATTACACACACTTAACACTGGAAGTGAAAGACCTGTGAACTGCCTTCTCGTCAGGTTGTGGGTTTTGCATAACTGCAGCCTGGGTATGTTGTACACTGTAGACAGTCGATCGACCTTCGCAGCCCTTCTCCAGAAAGACACTTTTCTGGGTGTACCACTACCTTCCGGGAAGGAGGACTGGTGTGAAAGGTTTTCTGCTGAACAGAAGGCAATTTTAACTAACGGAGGAAGAACTGGTTTGACACAGAAGTGCTGAGCTAAAGTCACACACTGTTCCCCATCTTTTTTTTTTTTTTTTTTTGGTGAGGATGATTGGGCCCGAGCTAACATCTGTGCCAACCTTCCTCTTTTGTATGTGGGATGCCACCACAGCATGGCTTGAACAGTGTATAGGCCTGTGCCCAGGATCCAAACCCGGGAACCCTGGGCCACCAAAGCAGAAGGCGCAAACCTAACCACTACACCACCAGGCTGGCCCCCACCCCATCCTGTTTTTGAAAGCCGGCTCACACCACCTATACGGCTCAGAGAAGTTGTCTAAGGCTCCCGGAGCAGGTGATAAGAAGCAAGCAGTGACACTGTTTTGCTCTCAACGTGTTTAATGTGTGAAAGGAGAATAACAGTGGTGGTCAGGGTTCTCAGTTTAATACGTTCCTTGAATGTGGGCCATCCAGAGAGCATTATTTTGAATGGCTGAATTACCTAACTTTTGACACAAAGTTAGAGTTTTAATTTTGAAAGGACCTAATTCCATGGGATTATGGTGACTAATTTATCATGAAAATTAAATGCAGAAATACAAAGGCTCTGAGCTCACAGCAGAGGTAAGAACTAATGTGACCGTAATAGCTGGAGTTGATGGGGTAAGAGGCAACCGATCATAAAATTACTTTTCCCTTGTAACAGAGTGTTAATACTTTAACATAAATTAATTATACATTCATTATGGTGTTTTAAACAGTCAAGCCTAAATAAATTCTTCATACCATCAAAAAGATATACATACTAAAACCCTGCATAAGCACAAAGGTTTTCATTTGACAGCTCTTGGCCTGAGCCACACACATTTACAGGGATCTTTTGCTTCTCAAGCTTAATGAAAGTCTGGCAATCGTTTTATATAAAAATAAGACTAAATTTAAAACCTCACCAAACTAGGAATCTGATGTAGAAAACTGATGGATGATGACTTCATTCAGAGCGGCTGAAGCCAGCGGCTCTCAAACTGCAGCTTGCGCCCTAGTCTCCGGGAAGGCGTGTGAAAGCAGCCCAATGGGCCCCACCCCTTGAGCTTCTGATTCAGGAGGAGCGGGTGAGGCCTGAGTGCAATTCCAGCGGGCTCCCAGGGCATGCTGATGCTGCTGGTCCAGGAACCCCCAGTGAGAACAACTGGCTGAGCTACCTGTGGAAGCTTAGCACCATCTCCATCACTGCTCAGTGGTGGACAGGAGCGGCTCTGTCAGCCGTAGTCCTGCAGGGCCGATGTGGAGGTGGTCTCATGACTAGTACCACTGCTCACTATTTTCTATTGTCAGAGAGAAGTCCTGGGCTGAGTTAACAGGGAGCACTTCTCTGCCAGCATGCAATGTATTTTACAACTAAAGCCATGTACAATGTATTTGAAATGGTTTATTTAATGCTGAAAAATTTACCCTAGGGGACAGAAGGATGTAAAAAGAAAAGGCACCGTAATTAAGTCTTCCTTGGAAACAATGAGGTTTTTTTTCTCTTTCAAATAATTTCACTTTAATGTAACTTGAAGCCCAAACATTCTGGGAGGTGAACAGTCTTGACAGCTGTGGGGGCAGGAGCGGCAGGACTAGCTCCTGGAGGAATGGGGTGCTGGCTCTGCGGTCACTCCACCGACTCTAGAGCAGGGTCTTGGACATGAGGACCCTGAGCAGCCGGAAGACAAATGACTTCCTCAGGTTCCAGAAGGAAGGTACCGTGTACATCCATGAAACAGGGCCCCTGGAAAAACTTCTAAATTGGGCTGGGCAGAAGCCACATCTGAGTCTGGTTCTAGACAGTGACCTAGTAACCCAGCACGGCCTCGAGGCCCCTCCCTCCCGCTCTGCCAGAGCCTGCCATGGGAGCCACCTGCTCTCTCCCCGGCTGGTCTGCAGGGTGCCTCATACCACCAGAAGACAAACGCTTAGCCAGGCTGGCACAGTCAGAGTTTCAGTGAAAAAGGTACTCGCAACTGTGATGAAAATCCTGGAGGAAGCTAATGCTTCCTCAGAACTCTTAGCCTTGAACTTTCGAAAACGTTCTTCCAAGTAAAATGCACTGCAAGTAATAAGAGCAGTGAGGAGCAGGCCCCGGGAAAGCTAGCTCCGAGTTCTGGCAGTCCATGCTAGTCCTCCCGTGTCCCGCTAACGTGCTTCCCCAGGGCCCCCCTCAACACGACACGCCAGGGAGCCTGCCAGGGGCACTGCTCTTTCCCCAAGTGAGCCGGCGGGCCCTGCTCAGAGTGAACGTGGCAAGGGGCGGCCTCGGGATCGCGGAGCTACCAGTTCAGACTCTGCTGCTGCCAACGGTGAAGGGGAAGTGGGTCTGGTCACTGTGTTCAGCACTGGATTCTTCCTCTCAAGTTCCTAAGGAAACCTCATCCTGTCCTCTGGCCTCACTGCCCTCGCTTCCCACCTGCCACGCCTGGCCCCATCTAAAGTGCCACGTGCTGGGGCTTTGTCCCCGGGGACCCTCGGCAGCTAGCCAGAGCTTGTGTCACGGGGTAAAGCTGGCAGCTGGCAGGCCCAGCAGGGAAAGTTGTTCCTTTTACCCACAGCACAACAGTTGTGTACCAAAGGGAAGAAACTCATAAAAGGAAACTATCCAATCTCATAATATTTCCAAACTGAACACGTAAAGGCAAACTGTCATCTTAAAGAATTACCTTTTAGACCTCAGTTAAAATACACATATATTTGTTTCCCCCATGATCCAATATAAGATTGTTACTATTGCTTCTTTCAGAGGACCATGAAGAGAATGTATATCCTAAAACAGGGAACAAAAATTTGTTTTAAAAAGAGCAATAATGGGGAAAAAAAGCGTTTCCTCTCCCCCCTCCCTCACCCCCAGTCATTTTGGCTCACAAGCTATGTTAGCATCATTCCAGCTTTCAAAGCCACTCAGCTTCAGGAAGCATCCCTGGATATCCAGCCACTTTCTGTGAGGAAATTTAAAATCCTTTTCTTTAGGACTTTGTCCAGATAACTCGGAAGGCGACTTTTGGAGGGAATCCCTTGTCGTTTCTGGAGGTGGTCTTTGATGATGATGGTCTTCACAGTCACGTAGCGAGCGGGACTCAAATTTAAGGAGCTGCAGAGCACCTTCTCACGGTCCGACAAGAGCTCAAACCCAGGAAGGTTCTCGATGGCAGCAAACTCACTGTCCTTGCCGTCCTCCTTCCCCCTCTTGGAGCCGCCTGTGTTTTTATTCTCCTTCCTCTTCTCTCGCTTGTGCCTGGCCGCCTCGTACTCTGCCGACTCCTCCATCTTGGTGATTCCGTTCCGCCGGTACCTCTGCAATTCTCTAATTTTTGCCCGCAGCATCTTCTCTTTGTGCATGTTTTCAAACAAGTCATCGAACTCCTTGCAGGACATGAACTGGTAGAGCGGCCTCAGCTTCAGCCGCAGCTCCTTCTCCTCCTTGGTGATCTTGCGCTTGGCCGTCTTCTCCTTCTCCTTCTTGTCCCTGCCCAGAAAGGCGGGCACCAGGTTGTAGTCGCGGGCGATGTTCTTCCGCCGCTGCCTCTCCTTGAGCTTCCGCACGTACATGTCCACGTGGGCCCGCTTCAGCTCGATCTCCACGTCGTCGTCGTCGTAGTTCACCGAGAGCCCGCTGATGAGCGTCTCGGCATCCTGGTCATACTCGATCTCATAGTCGTCCCGCAGCGGCATGTAGCCCAGCTGCTGCTGCTCAGCCACCGAGATGTCTAGGGGAGGCAAGGGGGTAGTGAGGCTGGGAGAGAGGGGGCCTCCACTGGGGCATGTGTGGTCTGTCACCCGATTGGGGATGGTGTCAGGGATGCAGGCTTTCCCCAGGTTTCCGTGGATGTACATGCTTACATAATGCTCCATCACTTCCTGGGGAGTCCGGGAAGCTCCAACATGAGCAGCCATATCTTCCTACAACGACAACGGGCAGAAGTTATTTCCAAAGTCAGAGTGTCAGACTCAGGGTTCAGGCAAGTTTCCTTGATATTTTCACGAAGGTTTACATGGACTACTTCCTATAGACATTATTACCCCCCCTCTCAAGACACTCAATGGTATGTTCTCTTGGGCTGGGCTTATCACCTGGATGTCAATGCTAGAAGGAACCTTGAGTGATTCTGTACATGAGAAAGTGAAGATCCAGAGAGGTGCAGACTTGCCCGGGGTCATGGCATGAGTTGGTGGCACAGCTGAGGCCAGAAGCAATGTCTGAGATCTGGACTTTGTTCTCCTCGTCCCTTAAATAGGACGAGCAGAGCCCATCTGGTATTGGCCATTTTGCACCACCGCAAACCTGGCACTCTCGGGGGCAGCTGTCTGTCTGCATGTAACAGGACACAGGTGCACAGGGCCACAGAGCACAGTCCACCCTCTTCACTCACAGACTAGACAGCAGACTCATCCCAAGTTCATGGCCCAGGTCTCCCGTCTACAGGAGGGACCCCTTTCTACCATGCTGCCTGCCTCCTGGAACAGAAAGGGCTGAGGCTCTGTCTTTGATGCTTCCCCCACCCCGGGAGGGTCAGCTTGTCCCTCTCCTAGGTGGCAGTGCAGACGACTAGCTAAGCGCCTTTTAAAGGGTTGGGGGCCTTCATTTACAACAGCCTCCACAGTTAGGTAGCTAGCTGAAAATCGGCCACGGGCTGCAAGCGCTCACTCCTACAAGGTAACATGAACACAAGGATTATTAATGGGAGGAAATTGTACAACTCCCTCAATCCTTTCCTTCTGCCAAGAGGCCTCTTCCTTCAAGTCAACCGCTAAAGCCACTTCAGAAAGTAATGCCCGAAATGCGCACTCATTCACCCAGCAGCCACTCAGCACCCCCACCCCCAGCCTCCACTCGCCCCTTCATTCTGCTCCCACGTCTCGGGCAGCTGCCAGGGCACAACACAAGCTGCCTTCCGCCCCAGCAACGCTCACCTCCTGCCAGATCGGAATGCTCTCTGCACCCCCAAAGGCCAAACTGGAACCCAAGAAACCAGCCAAGCCATTCGGACTAATAACAAACTGGGCACCGAGGGGAAGAAAGTATTCATGGAGCAGTGACCAGACCCTACATGCTGGGCCTCATCTTGGGGCACACCGAGCCGGCGGGCACGCTTCCCATGAGCTGCTGGAGTGCTGAGGGCGGGGCTTAAAGGCCCAAGACCAAAGAAGGCAATACTGGGACCTAAATGCAAGGCCTCTTTCTGAGAATCATAGAGAGAAAAGGGAAGATTAGACCTAAAACTAGATTCTGGTCTTATAAGGATGAGATGTTCATATGATTTCTTCTTTAAAAAACTGCTAGGAGCATCAAATCTGTTCATTATATTTTCCCAGGAAGCATCTGTCCAAAAAACCCAAAACAAAACCAAGTCACGACCATCCCCAGCATCAACTGTCACTCTGGGTGACCCAGGCTGGCCACTTCGCACCTCTGAGAAGTCGGGTCCCTACCAGGAAAGGAGACAGGAGTCAGCCCCACCCGCCTCACATCTGCTCTGAGCACCATCAGGAGAATGGACGTGCAAAGGCTTTTCACACTGGGGTGGGCTCTGTCTAAGTCAGAGACCCAACAGAAGTCCCCACGGAGCGGCCGGGGAGGGCTGGGGAGCAGTGACGCTCCTCCACCCACCCCACCTTGGGACCAGGAAGCCCCCAGTGAGCTATGCTGCAAATACACCGTCTCTGACATGGCCCTTTCAGGAGGAAAGGACATGCTCACAGGTGTCTAGAGTGGAAATGCCCCGCCCGTGCCTCGTCTGAGCTTCCAGCACCGGGCGGGCAGCCAGAGGCACAGCGAGCCCTGCCCAACGGCTTCTGCACCCCTCACCACTGCTTCTGTTCAAAGCTGCGGCCACTACAGAGTCAGAGTCAAGTTTCTGGGGCGCCTCCCAGGCGCGGGAGCTGGGCTGCCCCTTTCCCAGAGGCTGGGAGGGGCTAGGTAGCAAATCCACGGCTGCATGGTTAGGAATTCGGCCCCCAGGCCTTGGCCCCATCCCTGGTCCAGTGAGAAGACCTTCAGTGAGAGGCCCGCCTGGCGAGCGTGCAGGGAGCGCCAGCTGCCCTCCCAACAAAGGTCTGCTGTTCACCAGGAACCTCAGCAATCTGCCTTCTGCAAGTCATCAGCCACTCAGTGCACCACGTTTTAGAGAAAATTTAAATCCTGAAAGGATTGTAATAAAGTTGTATCTGATCAAACTGAGATTTATTTGCTTGTTTGCATTTTTTATTTATTTCCATCAGTTTCAACACTCTGGGAGCAGAGGATGGAGGCAGTAGGGAAGCCTCGGAGCAGTGGGCCAGCGCAGGGGAGGCCCGGCTCAGCGCGGACACCGCCGTCCTCCCCTGCCAAGTGCTCCACAGGCCACACGCTGGCCCACTCTCAGGGCCAGGCAGGCAGGTCTGCCAGCTGTGGGCACTGCACTGACACCTCACTTGTCCAGGTCCTCTTCAGGTAACAAAGGGGCATTCTGGCTCTCAGAAGGACCCGGGTTACAGGTATTTATGAAGCCACAAATCAGAGGAGCCTTGCCACCAGGAGCCCAAGAACCCCCATCATCAATCAACCCTAGCCACTGCCTGAGCACAGCTGAAAGGCCATCACTAGAAGAGCCACTGGCCATCAGCTCCTGCTGAAAGAGAATCGTCCCTCAGGGGCCACCACATTAGTTTAATGACCAGTGAGAAAGCCCAGTAAAAGACACAAGACCCTAACTTCCAAGGACTTTGAAACGGAGAGTGAGGGTCACAATGCAGCGGTCTAAATGACAGCAATGACACAGCTCTGACTCTAACAAGAATCCAGAGGGCAGACAGGTTCAGTGAAGCTAAATTATAGTAAGGAACACATTCAAAAAGATGATTAAAAACAGCCACAGCTACTGTACTCCTCCCACATGCCGGCATTCTGCCCATCGCATTCTAAATGTTTTCTCCAATCTTCATGTCAGTGGTCACACAAGACTTGCCTACCTCCTGCCAGTGAGAGAAGTGTCCTGTCATCTCATTACAGCATCACATATGATAGCAGCAGAGTGACTGGGAGGGCAGTTCTTTCCCTCGTATGTTCAAGGTCAAAGTTTTTGCTTAATCCAGATGGATGGGTGGATGGACAAATGGATGGATGAATGAACAGAAGTTTGGATGGATGGATCAACAGACGGATGGACAGAGGATAGACAGACAGGTGGACAGATGGATGGACAGAAGGATGGATGGATGAACAGATGGATGGATGGATAGACAGACGGATGGATGGATAGACAGACGGATGGATGGACAGAAGGAAGGATGGGTGGGTGGGTGGGCAGATGGATGGATGGATGGATGGGCCAGCAGGCAGAAGCAACAGAAGGAGATTTGGGGGAATGAAATTTGGAGAGAAAGTTCAACTCAAGTACAACTAAAATTAAACAAGGAACACAAGTGTAAACTGAAGTTGGTTTTCCCCCCACCACAGCACACAGTAACATATGGATCAACAGCCCAAAGTCTACAGAAACAGAATTTCAGGTTTTTTCTTCCTTTATGCTTACATAAAAACAAAACAAAACAACAAAACTCCCGTCTTTGGAAAAACAGAAGGAGAGATAGGTATGCTGCTTTCTTAAAGTCTTTCGAAAAGTAAAGGAAAACGTGCCTTTAAGACACTGAACTGGGCCTGTGAGGTCTACTTTCCCAGATCACAGACTCAGGCCAGGCTGCTGTCTCTCCAGGAAAGGAAGTGAGCATGCCAGTGAGTAATGCCTCCGCTGGCTTCTCTGGCTGCTCTAGTCTCCTTCTGGCCTTTCCATGGCTCACTCTTGCCGGCCTCCAGCACCTGAGCAGGGAAAGGAAGAGAACAGTCCAGAGAAACTGTCGGCAGTGTGGGTCAGCCAGCTCCTGCCAGTGGGACTCGCTCAGGTTTCTCTCCTCCACTCACTAGCTTGCACACTCCCGCTGGGCTGCTCTGTCGACTCACTCTCCAGACAAACACAAACCCGACGGGGTCACTCCTGAGTATGACAAACTTTTAGAGGATCCCATCAGCAAATCCACTGCCTCTCAGACAGGGCTGGCCCGTGATCAAGGGTGAAATTTAAAAACATAAGGACAATGTAGGGGTTCTCCTTTAAGCTAAACTTTTCCATTTAAAGGCTCGTCCTTCATTCCAAGATTATGTCCTTCCTATCCGGGGAGTACTAAGATAACCTTTCTTTTTGTGAAATGGTGATAGATTATTAATTGGATCTTTCAACATTTTAACATCCTTACATGGCAAACTTGGAGTTAGCAACTCTGTGTTAGCTTTCAAAATATTTTCTTTCAATATGACTCGTCTACGGAATCTAACTCAGGGTCAGCCAAACTCAGTGTGCTTTTCAAGGCCTCTTCAGATCTGTCCTCGGCCCAGCCAGACACCATACGCCTGCTGGAAATGCCCCTTTCTCTATGTGCTCGGGCTCTGGGGCCAGGCCTCGGAGCTGCAATCCTGGCTCCACCCCTTATGAGCTGTGTAACTTGGACAAACTCCTTCAGCTCTCTGTGCTCAGTCTCCTCATCGGGATTATGGAGTAGTGACACTGCCTAGCTCACAGGACGGTGAGGAGGAGGAAACAAGGCGACGCAGGTGGAGTGCTCGGCCTGGTGCCAGGCACGGTTTGCACCCCATCGACGTTGGCCATTATGACCACTACGAAGCTGGGAGCCTCACTTCCACAACTTGTATTTATCCCTCAAGACCCAGGACATGTCCTCCAGGAAGCCTGAGATGATCCCCAGACCTGTGTTCAGATTCTGGCTCAATTACTGACTTACTTTCAACTTCTGCTTCCTGATCTGTAATCGCTCCTCTTAAAAAGGTAAAACCCCTCCTCTTTGTCAGGATAAAATAAAAATTTAAATCATCACCATAATAACAGTTAACACATAAGTGCTTTCACACG